TGGAATAGCCAAAAGTCTAGTAGACCAAAAAAAATATACCGGATTAATTATAACTGGTGATTTTAATTATCCACACATAAAATGGTACAAAGATGGTGGAACAAAACTGAAACAAAACTGTGATATTAGTATAAATTTTATTGATAATTTAAATGAAAATTTTATTGAACAATGTATTTTTGGATCAACATTTCAAATATCCGACAATGAATCTACAAACACACTTGATTTACTAATGACAGATAATTGCAAAAGGATTAGAGATGTAGAAATAGGCGCACCACTTGGACCAATTGAAAAAGCAGATTATGTAATTCAATTCAAATATGACATGCAAGGTGCCAACACAATCTCTATACAATTCAATAGTAAAGATATAAATTACCAAAAAAGAGACTATGAAAAAATAAATCTTGGTTTTAATTTAATAAATTGGTATGAATTATTTAAGGATTTAAACGTGAACCATTGCTACAGTGCTTTCGTACAAAAATATAATGAGTTGATTGAATTGAATATTCCAAAGAAAAGAGCCAGGTTTGATCAAAAAGTTAAAAAGGACCCATGCATAACAGTCGAAGTTAAAGCTTTAATACGTAAAAAGAAAAATTTATGGAACCAATTAAGAGCTAGTAAATTTAAATATCTTAATAAATTAAATGAGTACAAAGCAAAAAAAATTAGTCAAAAGCAAATTAAAAGAATCCACTATTGATTATGAGAAAAAATTTATAAATAATGCAAAAAAAAATCCAAGACTATTCTACAAATACGCGAAAAAGAACCAAAAAAACATCGGTAAAATACAATCAATGAAAAACTATGCAGATGTACTCACATCTGACAGGCATGAGATTTTGAATATATTGAACAAAAGTTTTTAATCGGTTTTTGTTAAAGAGCATGGTGAAATTCCGGAGTTTGTACCACGTATTACAAAACCTTTTTGAATGGGATTGGAAAAATGTTGTTACAAATGAGGCAGTTCAGCAAAAACTGTATTCTTAGGACGTCAACAAAGCATGTGGTAGTGATGGTATTAGTCCTTACGTACTTAAAAATTGTTCAAGTAGTGTACCAACTCCATTAGTTTTAATTTACCAAAAATCAATTGAAACAGGAAAAATTCCTAGCGAATGGAAAGAAGCAAATATTACTCCAATATTCAAGAATGGAAATAAAACAGACCCGCTTAACTACAGACCCGTATCATTAACATCTGTACCATGCAAAGTTATGGAAGCATTCATAAAAGAAGCGATAATGACTCATCTGATGGAAAATAAATTGCTATCAAAAAATCAATCAATTTGCTAGAAACATTAGACATTTTAACAGCAAGCATGAGTGACAGTTTAGCGGTAGATATGGATTTTGCCAAAGCCTTTGATAAGGTTCCATATAAAAGACTGTTGAGATAGTGTGAAGCATATGGTATCAAGGGTGTAATAAATGACTGGATATCGTCTTTTTTTAAAGAAAGAAGGCAAAGAGTTGTGATGGGTGTAGACGTGCCTCCATGGCTTGAGATTTTTAGTGGTGTGCCTCAAGGCTCTGTGCTTGGTCCTTTGTTATTCTTGATATTCGTAAATGATCTACCATCAATTATTAATTCCAATTGCAAATTATATGCAGATGACAGTAAACTTATCAAAATTATAAAAAATGTTGAAGATCATGAGTCTTTGCAGAATGACATTAACGAATTTGTAAAATGGACGGATATCTGGTTGACAAAGTTGAACATCGAAAAGTGCAAGGTGATGCATTTAGGTAAAAAGAATCCACGAATGAGTTATTGTATGACCCACGACGGCAAAGAGTATAAATTAAAAACAACAGTAAGTGAAAGAGATTTAGGAGTGATTATTTCATCCGACCTTAAATGGCATGATCAAGTGACTTCAGCGACAGCGAAAGCACAAAAAACTTTGTGTCTAATTGAACGTACGTTTACATACTTCGATGTGGAAATGGTGAAATCACTATATGCGACATTTGTGAGACCGCTTCATGAGTTCGCTATACCTGCATGGCAGCCTTATTTACAACGGGATATTGATGAGTTAGAGAAAGTGCAAAGAAGAGCAACGAAGTTAGTTCCACAACTTAAAAAGATTTCATTTGAAAAAAGACTGAAAGCAATGGATTTAACAACATTAGAGAAAAGACGAGCTAGAGGAGATCTTATACAACAATACAGATTCAAGCAAAATATAATCCAAATAAATTGGTACAAAAATCCAAAACAGGCATCATCCGTGACTAGTTCAGGCCCGGCTTTTTCTGTAAGGGGCAATAAATACAGGCTAGAAAGAGAATACGTACCATCATGTTTACCGAGATATAATTTCTTTACCAATCAAGTTTTTGAAAATTGGAATTTGTTACCAAATAAAATCATTGAAGCAACATCGTTGAATGTTTTCAAAGCGCGAATAGATAAACATTTTTCATAACTTGTGTTTTTTAATTTGTGTGGGCTGTCTATAACCCGATGCTTGCATCGCGTTCCACAACTTATTTTATTTTTAAACATTTATATTTAAACAAATTTGTAATTGTTACTGCAATAAGTATTACTATAACTAATACATTTTGAGATTTTAAACTGTTGAATCGGATCATCTTGAACTCTCCTCTCTTTAAGAGTAGTTAAGCCGAGATGAAAGAGTCTTTCTTCATATGACAAATGCTTTATTTCCGATATTGTTTTAGTGGCTTTATGCTGTACTTGTTCTAGAATAGCAATGTCTTTTTCATTGTGTGGTGACCAAGCCTGGATAGCAAATTCTAACTGGGGTCTTATATATGTTTTGTAGAGTACTTTCTACAAAAAGAGTCCACGATTTCTGAAAATTTATTTTAGTCTACCAAGTTTACTGTGGGCTCTTGCTGCTGCTGATTCGACTTGATAGCTTACTTTAAGATCGTCTGATAGAAGTACTCCCAGATCATGTTTGTGTTTAGTGACGTCCAGTTGAATTCTGTTTCCACTTAAATCAAGATCGAATAAGTTTGAGTAGATTTAGAGTAACCACGCTCAACGTGCATAACTTTACACTTATCGAAGTTGAGAGGCATATTCCATTTATGCGACCAATCTACAAGATTATCTATGTCAATTTGCAATGTTCTTTTGTCCTCCTCAGATATTAGAACTGCGATTATTTTGCAATCGTCGGCATAAATTTTTATGTGATGACTAATATAGTCCGGCAGATCGTTTATATATAAGATAAAAAGAAGTGGACCGAGCTTGTTACATATTTCCATTCAAATTTATGCTTGCCGATTACAACCCGTTGATAACGATTCGTTAACCAGTTTGCTATCCAGTCTAATCATCTACACAAAGAGTGATAAGAAATTGTGGCTATAAATCTTATAAAAAGAAAAGAATTCCTCGTTGTGAAGAAACGCAAGAAAATGTTGCAATTCGTCGCTCAAAACTGATCTATAAAAAATATTTGCTAAAAAAATCTTGAAATCTAAAAAAATGAGCTATTAATAAAAATATTAAATTACATGTTTTTAATTGAAATTACCTAGTTTGAAGTCCAAAAATTGCAGTGGTTTTTGAATAAAAACGAAACATGTTTAGAAATTTTAATATTTTAACAATACTAAATATCTTTTAATATTTAAAAATGTTTAAATAATTGAAAAAATAACAAACTAATTTTTTTTTTGTGCGTAAAACAAAGTAGTGTTTCAATAAAAAGTGGATCTTTTAAGACTTTTACCAGAAAAATCTTATCTGAATTTGAAAAAGCCTTATCTGATGTGGTGTTTACGAAAACTATGCATTACTTTAATTAGCTAATTGTTTTAAAATGTCATTGTATTAGTGTTTTATTAGTGTAATTTGAATAATAATTTTGCAAAATTTAAACAGCTATGTTATGAAAACGATTAGTTTTAATTGAAATGTCATCTAATTACTCAATGCAACTACTTAATGCAATTAAGGCATAGAACAAACTAACTCGTAAAAAAAATAGCCGATAATTTAAAACAAATCCGATTGGTTGTTAGTGGCAAACCGAAAAACTTTTTATTTATTGGTATTTAATTTATGCAAACAAAGAATTCGAATGTAAATTATATAATAGAATGTAAATTATTTATAAAATTTTCCGCCTCTGTTTTTTAATTGTTTACGCCATTCTAAAAGTAATAATTTATTATTTCAAGATGGCCGAATAAGTCCCTAGTATTTTAAAAAATGATACTAAATACCGAAAACAGTTTTTTAAATGGGGCTAAAAGTTATGATTATTTATGCAAAAATGGCTTTGGTAGAAAAATTAACACTACCGTAGGTTATCTAAATCTCGCGTGACATTATTTTTAACATACTTATTTAGGTGTGTTATTATATAATATGTCATACTTTTTGATGAAAAAACTTACATATACTGTAATTGAAAAAACTTATATTTTTGTTCGGAAAAACGTGTACCAGGCCTTAGTCGCATTAAGATAAAAAACGATAAAAAATTTTTTCGCATTTTCTGGTTGAATCCTGGTGTATCAAACTAAAAAGTTGCAGATTGCTTTGAGAAGAGTTGCGTAATGATTTGTCTCAAACGTAAGAACGAAATTTTTTCAAAAAGCATTATAAATGGCAGCAAGATAACTGCATTAAAAATGTATTACTTGTTTAAAAGCAGAATTAACTCCGGAAAAATTTTTTTCATTTGAAGACACAAATTCCTTAAACTTTTTGAATTTTATCAGAAAATTAAAACCTAGAAAAATTTTTTCTAGGTTTTAATTTTCTAATAAAATTCAAAAAGTTTAAGGAAGTTGTGTCTTCGAATGAAAAAAAGAAAACTTAAAGAAGTTATGTCTAGAAAGGAAGAAAGGAAAGTTAAGAAAGTTGTCTCATAAGGAAATAAGAAAGTTTATGAGAGTTGTGTCTCGAAATAAAAAAAAGGAAATTTAGGAAAACTGCCTCAAAATCAAATATGATTTTTTTTCAAAATAATTGACCAGTAAATCAAAACAAAAGTTTTAAATATAAAAACATTTAAATTTTACAAATATATACAAAATATTAACATTGATTTTTCACTTAAAAAAAGTTTCTAATTGTTTATTATTGTTCATAATAAAAAACATCCGTTTGCGGCCGTCATTTTATATAACGGTATCAAGTCAAACATTGAATAAATAATCCAAAATGTTCATACAATGCAACGTAATAATGTTGGATACTCGGAGCATAACGCTGCTTCATAAAACAACCTTAAAAAGACATAAGGACGCAATACTTCAAATCGTCAAGTTAAATCAGACGCTCATTTCCAAGTAGTCTATCAAGCGCATAAGTGAACTCAAGCGTATCTAGAATATCTTTTAATCCAAGACGAAAATCTAACACGGAGTAATAGTAATCAGGACTCTATAACGAATAAAAGTATTGAATATAAAAAAAAAAAAAAAAAGGTTTTTAATAAAACCAATCAACTTTTCTCTCAGAATTTTAAGCATACTAACATCACAAAGCAAAATTGGCATGACTTTTATAAAACGAAAAATGATTTACGTCAAAATTAAAAGCAGTGACATTAAATAATAATTAAATACCAACTTTCATTTTAAAACAAATAAAATTCGTTATTTAAATTCTACATTAAATGCACACTCGGTGCAATTAATGTAGAATTATAAACAAATCGAAAGAATTTTCATTTATTAAACATAAAATTTCAAATGTCTAAATTTCAACTATTCATGTTTTGTAATTATTTTTGAATATTGCTTTTTTATATTTTTAATATAAAATTTCAAAATAATAATTACTTTTAAGTTTTTCTTTATAAAAATATTCAATATTATATATTGAAAATGATCGAAAAACACGTTTAATTATGAACTTGTCTCCTTAAATGAGTGTGAATTTTTAATATTATAGTCTTTAACTTGAAAATCTCCCAAGAATATAATAACATTTAAAAAATATTTTCTTTAGTTCTTTTCTTAAATATTTTAGTAAATCGTTATACAAT